TGAGAAAATGTTTATCATGAAATGTAAAGTACACTATGGAGTTATGTGTATGGGTAAGCATCTGAGAGCAAGAGAAATAACTCTCACACCTCCTTCCACCCCATCCTCACCTTGTACTTGAATCCCCACTCCCCACTGTGGGCTTAAAACTATGCCTTCATCCACCCTTTTCCCACTGACTTTTTTAAAGCTATGGAAATGAGACAACAAACCCAAATACCTGAAGAAATCAGGGAGGTAGTATAAATGAGAGAGCTGTCTGGAAATCTCTAAAGAGTCTATTGCTTTGTCATGGACTCCAAAGTCATCAGTTAGCTAGAGAAGGAGTAGAACAGGAAGGAAATAAGATTTAATGGGAACCTACTATGGTTCAGGCAAGGTGAAAATTACTTCAGTACTCTTAACAAATATTGGTTGAATACCCTAGTACTTCATGCTAGACACTAGGTAAAATGCTTGGGATATACCAGTGAACAAAACAGACAATATAACTAACCTCCAAAACTTATTCTACCTGCAGTCCTCTTATTGAATATTAACTGCCACCCTGCAAGGAAGAAGCATTATTAACACCAATTTCTAGATGAGTCAAAAATGATAGGAACATCTTTGAACCCAAGTCTGGGGGACTGTGAGTCCTCATCCATTCCCACTGTGCCAAATTCCATGCTATGTGCTTTCTGCAGTGGGTAATTACAGAAGGAGGGCATCAAAAGTACCTTCCAGTGATAGCTCTTCATGCCCCACCTACCACTGGTTTCAGAAGGACTGAATCATGGACCACAGAATAGGGTTGGGCTTTTGAGCACAAGCTCTGGACCAGGTCAGATCTGACCTTGAATTGGATACTACCTGGTGACCTGCTCAGATATGAAAAGTGTTACAGCAGGAAAGCAAACCCTTCTTACCTGGACTCCTAGTTTTTAGCTCAAGGCTCTCTCAGTGCATTTGTCTGTTGTCCATCACTGGGCATTCTCTTACTAATAGAGCCAGCTGTCTCAGGAAATTCAGTAGACCATGTGGATACCAGAATAAGAGACCCACTAAGCTGAAATAAGCCAGGCGGAGAAAGACAAGTACCAAATGATTGACTCATCTGTGGAGTATAACAACAAAGCAAAATCTGAAGGAACGAAACAGCAGCAGACTCACAGGACCCAAGAATGGATGAGAGGTTACCAAAGGGAAAGGGGTTGGGGAGGGTGGTGGGAAGGAAAGGAGAAGGGTTTTAAAGGGTATTAGGATTAATGCACATAATATAGGGGGAGCCCGGGGAAGGCAGTATAGCACAGAGAAGACAAATAGTGACTCTATAGCATCTTACTATGCTGTTGGACAATGACTGCTATGGGGTATGTGGTGGGGACTTGATAATAGGGGAATGTAGTAAGCACAATGTTGCTCATGTGAAACCTAAGAAAAGATCGTACATCAATGATATTTTAATAAAAAGAGAAAGAGAGAGACCGACTATGCCAGTTCTAAGTGGGAGAAGTCATGATGTAGACTAGCTGCATTAGAGCCATCTGTTCTTGATATATGCACAGATCTAACAATTATTAACAAGTATTTCACCTCTCTAATATGAGAGAAGGTGGGAAAATATTTGGGCCATTTACAGACAAATGTCTTCCACTCTTCAAGTATTTATGAACAAGTATTGAATTCTATAGATGACAGAGTGAGCTCTTTATTTTCTCCCACAGATCAGTCCCTTGTTTTCTGTTTTATCCCTCGTCAACTCACTTAGTCATCCAAGCTAGAAATCTGAATTTTTAAAACTTTTCTCTCTACTTCTGTCTTTATATTTGTCACCAAGGCTATTTATGACAACTCTGAAATTTCTCAGAATCTCTTGTTCTTCATTTCTGCTGTCTCTGCTGTAGATTCAGCTTGTAACCAATCAATGGCTTGGACAATTATGACAGCCTCCATACTGGTTTCCCTGCTTCCATTTGTTTAGATATTGCTGATTTGAAAACATCTTGGAATACAATTCTGTTCCATCAAGACCTTCAAGGGAACCTTATGATCTTCCAAATAAGTTCAAACTCCTTTGGCAGTTATAATGTTTAAGGCTATGTTTTCATTCAAATTTTCATCAAGCTTCTACTGTTTATTCTCTGGGGGAGAAATAATAAACAAGGACCATTTCCTGCCATTGAAGGAAACTAGGGAGTTTAGTGGAGAATTGTATATATAAAGACAAATGCAATTGTATATATAAAGACAAATGGACTTGATGGTCAAACAAAAATGAGTTGAAACTTGTGCAGGGGGGTCTGGGTTACAGATCCTCTGTTTCTCTCTTCTTTAGCCATTTGGGAAACAAGAGAAAGCTAAGGTCAGGATGAAGCCAATGCTATGAAAAGCAGAGCAAACAGCAATAAATATATAGACGTTAGAACTTTGTTTGAGATGGTACAAGAGTTCAGCGAGGGAGTGGCTAATTCCTATAGGGAATATCTGTTGGTTGATCGTCTACTCTGCGTTCTATACTTTCCTACAAGCCCAGATTATGCTGTATTTTTAGGCACAGAAAATGTGACATAGGCCAAGCCAGTTAGTGTTTCCTTGTCCCTGCTCTTAGTCAATGGTTCAGGGATGGACTTGTGGACTAGGATGGTCAAACAAAAATGAGTTGGGACTTGTGCAGGGAGGTCTGGGTCAGAGATGCTCTGTTTCTCTCTCAGTATGATAGCCCAGAAGTTGCTGAAAGCTATTTGGGAAATAAGAGAAAGCTAAGGTCAGGATGAAGCCAAAGCTATGAAAAGCAGAGCAAACGGATGACAGGGAATGTGTCCTTGATGGTACTGTTCAACTGAGGATCGAGTATTGCTTAGATTCTGCTTTAACTCTGAACTTTTCAGTTAGATGAGCCAATGCATCCTCTTTATAGTTTGTTTAATCGAGACTATATACGGTGTTGATCCCAGTCTTTAATTCTTCTTCTTCTAGAAACTGACTTCTGGGGGCTAAAGAAAGGCCTCTTACCTGGTCTAGATTCTTCCTTATGAGGTCTATATTACTCCTGTGCAACTGTGCTCTTAAATGCTAAAATGGTTGCTTTTTGCCTCAGGACTCGCATCATTCAGGCTCTCTCTCTTCTGCTCAAGCACACGCTCTTTCACATTGACTGTCCTGTTTGTCCCTCTTCAAAATCAATTCCTCGCAATTTATTTTTGGGAAACTATCCCTCTTTTAATCTCAGGCAATATGGCATGAGTGCCTCTGACTGTATCTGATGGCTTTAGGAAAGGGCAGAGACCATGCTTGACTACTGATGTCACTGTTTCTCTCTGGTTACAAATATTAGGTTAGCAGGGGATCTGTGGCCAAGGCTGGTCAATCTGGGTGAATAAACACCATCTCTGGTATATCAAACAGGGTCCAATCAGGAAATAGATACACTTTGTAATTTGAACAGGAAGATTTACTGTAAAGGATTGTGAATGATTTACAGGGAATTAACTAAAAAGGAATATAAGAAAAATCTAAAGGACGTCCTAGGGCTGAGGGAGCACACCCAAGGCAGGAAACAAATGGCTAAATGGGAAATTCTTTCCAAGGCTAGGATCCAGAGCCCAGTGGACAGAGTATGGTTGTAGCCGCTGGATGGTGGAGAGGACTGTTTAGCTACTCAGACCAGAGCTGGTCCAAAGATGGTGGGACATGGCCAGCAAGCAAGAGGTGCCCTGAAATTCACCTATAGGAGATACTGTGGGACTTTCTGGGCGTCAGGCTGGAGTAGAATGGGGATGGGGTTTGGGGACCCAGGGGAATGCTGGGAGGCTGCCACCAGGAAGCTGATAGTAAGTGAGTGGGAGCACCCGAGGACCTTGGAGGCAGCCTGCTGCGGCACTCTCAGAGCTGGCCAGCAGCTGCCACAGGAGTTTGCTCTGTGGGTCTTGCTGCTGGGAAACCGCCTGAGGTGGTGAGCTCCACTGCCTCCTGCACACCAGCCCAGCACAACAGGAGCACGAAGAAGGCCGGCATGCTGGAGCCAGGAGGAGAAGCCCTTACTTTTCTAGGATCCCACCAGCACTTTCTACTGACAAAGCTTGACGTCGGTCCCGATGGCAAGGGGTAAAATTTCCCAGCATCACAAGAAGGACTGTGAAGCCAAGATTTGTAGCTGAAAGACAACAAACTGGTGACCCGAGCACCTGGGATTTCTATGTCAGTGCTGGGGAAGAGCTGAGGAACACTCAGCAAGGTGGTGGCCATCTTGCTGCCAGGAGGGGAAAGCTGATCTTAGTGTAAAGTCAGCAAGAAAAAGCAGAACTGAGAGATGAAGAGAGGAGGGTGGATGACAACGGTATCTGGGCACCTGAATTCAGCGCATGCCTTCAATCCTATGCATTGTGGCAGAGCAAAATCCATGACCCCAAAATATGCCACTTTGACACATGGATTATTTTGAGCTTAAGTTGATCAAGACCCAGCAGACTCAAGAAAAACTTTTACCTGTCCCTCAACTATCTAAAAAACATAAGATAGGGATCCTAGCCCAGAAAGATTGCTATTACCAGAGGTCATTTTTGTCTGAGAGATCTCTCTCTCTCTCTGTGGCATGGTAAATATCTAATAACCAAACATCTGCTCTTCTTACTGTCCTGTGAATTACTCTCCTGTCTTGAAGCCTCAGCTCCCTGTCCCATTCCTTGGCTCAGGAGGGCACATAAGCCTCAACTGCCAACTGGCCCTGGGGCCTCAGATCTTTGGGGTTCCCATATGCACATAATTAAAGATGATTTTCTTGTTAATCTGTCTTATGTCAATTTAATTCATAGGCCAACCAAAAGAACCCATAAGAATAGAGGGGAAAATACACAGAAACTTCTATTGGACTTCTTAGTTTTAAGCCAATAAATTCCTTGTTTTTCCCTAAGTCAGTTTGAGCTGGATTTATGTGTCCTCCATTCCAATGGCTGCTGATCAAATCTATAATAAATCTTTAAGCATTAAGCTCAGGTGAGTGTTGTCTCTCTAATCTTCAGGTACTGTTCCTCATTCTTTGACTCTGTTTCCTGGATACATCATCCCAAATGCTGACATCATCTAGCACCTGGAAGCTCCATTAGTGTGGGTTTTCCTCTTGAAGGGAAAGTGGATGCCACACCTGCATGCAGTACCATGAAAATTCTTCTGTAACATCCTGTGTAATGTGCTTTGCAGATCTATCTCAGCCCTGTATAGTTTAATCATTTCATTCACAGTATATTAATTACAATGGAACACAGAGACTGAGGGAGTTGAATGACAGTAATGGGGAAGATTTCTCAATGGAAGGAGACCCACTGGGGAGTCTTAGCCTTTTTTTCCCAGCTCTGGGGTGATCCTTGGCTGGATGAAATCATTAGAGTGAACTAAGATACTAAACAAAACCCAAGGTAATCCCTGCCCTTTTTTGAACTGAATGATTTTAATCTGAAAGAAGAATGAATAGCTGTAATACAGTTGCATAAACTTAAATGATCACAATTTAAGAAACTGAATTGGTTTTCGTGGGTATTTTTTCCTACTGCTGTTGAAAGGTAATTTGCCTGAAAGTCAAAGACAAGGGGAGAGAATTTTGTTGAGCATACGGTGGTTAGCTCTGTTCCATGGTCTCAAAGTGCCCTTCGCCAGGGCCGGGTCATATCAACATCAGTAACTCATGCAATGTGACAGTGGAGGGAGTGTCTGATGGAGAACATTTCCAAACGTGATAGACCGAAACTGCTCTCAAGTAACCTGGAACTGTTCCCGGAGATGACGGCCTCTGTTACATGTATTTCCTTCTAGGGAAAGATTTCTTCGTTTCCCATATTCCCACAAATTAAACCTAAGTTAAAATATTTGCAGCAGAACAGAACTTACTGTTAGAAGAGACAAACCCATCTCATTGATCGCAACAATTTTCAACCTTCTTCAGCTTATTCTACATGACCCTTGAGTTTGAAGTAGGGCTTAAATGTGAAAAAGGAGCATGGAAAAGAGAAAAGGGAAGGAGTGTGGCAAGAGTGAGGAAGAGCTCTTAGAGGATCTTTTTTCAAAGTCAGGAACTTGACACAATAAAGGCAGTTTGAGAATCTTATATCCTGATATTCTTCTACTATTAGAGAGAGAATTAGGGTGTGACTCTCAGCTGAATATACACCTTGAGAATCCTGAAACATTAGGGTAGATTACTGGGGAGTCCTCCTTCATGAGGGACCACAGACCTTCTTGCACAAAGAGTGCACATGCCAAGATTTGAACCCAAAGCTCTGTAGGAGATAAGTGCTTTGTCTCGTCTGTGGAAAGAGAAACTTCACATTTCTCAGAGGGTAGAAAATTCTTCCCGAGGAAAGAACAGTCTAAAAGATATGCAACGAACACCCCTGAGTGTTGTGCTAGCTTCTGTTTCATACGTGTGACCCTCTTGGGAAGCTCATTCTAAGTTCTCGGAAAAGGTACCTTTAAACTGGATCTTTAAAAGAATCAGTTGGCCCTTAGAAGACCTAAGAGAACCATAATCATTGGCAAGCCTACCTATCCAAGGTAGATGGAAGAACTTTGTTTACTTTATTTGTAATATCCCCAAACTAGGAAGACCCCAACTGTCTATTATTAATTGAATGGATAAAAAAATTGGATATCATCTAACAGAATACTATTCTCCATCAAGAACAAATGAGATAGTAGTACATGTAAAGATAAGGATGAATCTCCAAATAATTATACTGAGTGGAGGAAGGCAGACAAAAAGAACACATACTCTATGATTCCACTTACAGAAGACTCTAAAAGCACAAACAAATCCATAGTAACAGAAAGCAGATCAAGAGTCACTTGAGTATTTGAGGAGGGTGAGGAAGGGTGGGAAGAAGAAATTACAAAGGTGCAGAAGGAAATTCCAGGCAATGATGTTTGTGGTCCTGTCCTGACTGTGGTGATTGCTTTATAGATATTTTCACATGTCAGACGTATCAAATTATATACTTTACATAATGTATGTTAAGTATGTCTCAAGAAAGCTGTTAGGCAAACACACAAACAACTCTGCCCACTCAATGGCCAGGACAATTAAGTTGGATTTTGAGACCTCTTGGAAAAGCAAAAGCTTACCTCCAGGAACAGAATGTGTTTTATGAAAATGGTGAGAATGTCAAAGTGGCATGTTGTCCATGGACCAGCCACGGGACAGCTACATTAGCTTCCAAAGTGGTCAGAGCTGCTGAGTTTGGGACCTTAATAGTAAGACCAAGTGAGATTTTGGAGCTAAATCAACTAACTTTGCTAGTAACATCCAAGTCTTTAGTTATAGGTAAGAAAACTTGAATTGCAGCCAGGGGTGGGAAAAGATCAAAGTGAATATTATGAAGGGTAAATAACTGTGCCCTTGGCATTTAAGCATGAGATTGGGATGCCAGGGATAAACTGGAAGACAGGAAGATCAACTTAATTGCCTGGAGCTACATTTGCTCTGGGTCAGTCCACCAACAGCAAGGCCTACTTCTTTGTCTTCATTTTTACGAAGGCATTTACCAACCAGGAGTGCATTGCCCCAGGATAGAAGAACCAAATAGGAAGAAACATGAGTTTCCACACCAGGCCATATATAGAAAAAGCAAGACTTCATTGTGGCTCCAGCGGACTGAAGTTAGAGTCAATGGTAAAAATTATTGGGGGCCAGTACTTAATTTAATATAGAAGAAGTTATTAGTAAATGGCGGGTGATATTTTAAAAATGAAATGGGCTGCTTTGTGAGACAGCAATCTCCTTGCCAGCAAGAGCATTGGAGCAGAAGCTAAGTACAGATATTGTTTCTACAGTCTGTGCTCCCTTGAGCTAAATTACGTGTGATTAAATTGATTCATTCAGGAACACAATCTGTCTTATGCAGACCACTGTTAGTTACAACATGATAACTGTGTGTGCATAGGAAAAAAATTTTTGCAGTAGGCATGGTAATACACAGATGTTTTAAGTGGCTGCTTGCTTCATGCAATTGTGAACTGAGTTGCAATTTTGTGCATTTTTGCTGTCTAACTTGAATTGCGTTTATTTTTTAAACAGTATGCAATATAGGTGATGCGGAGGTATATATGAAACTGTGACTTGCTCAGTTAAATTAATTGCCTTTCGACATGACTTTTAATGAAGTGAGTTTTCTCATGATTACTATTTTAACAACTACCGTGTCACACACAGCCCCTGGAGCAGGGCTGGTCACACTGGGCAATATTAGACTAGATCTTCTAAGGTGATTGTCACTTCTTCAGTCAATTGATTCTAATAATCTTAGACAGGGTCATTGATAAGGATGAACTTCCTTCTACTGGGAACATTCCCCTGGCCCCATCTTGCCCTCCTTCCCCATTTTTGGCTGGATTCTTCCTTCGTATTAGTCAGTTTTCAAATCAGAGACTCTGAGAGTACATTTTGGAGGGAAAGGATCAATATTTTGGTTTCTGCTATGTTACAATTTCAGATGCTCTGCAACACCCAAAGAAAGATATGAGTTGAAGGTTGAGTACATGAGTCTGAAGTATGGGGAAGAGAGAGCATAGTATGGGTGGTACCTACCCATGGATAGGGGTAGGGACCTACCATGGAGAAAGGAAGGAGGTGAAGCAGGGAGCCCTCTGGGCTTCCTGACATATGGAGATCTAGTGGAGAGGCCAGGGATGGGACAGCCAGGGAGGCAGGAGGAACTTGAGGTGAGCATCAGGTCACAAAAGCCTGGGGAATAAAATAGTTCCAAAAGCAGGAAAAGGTACATCATTTCTATGCTCTTTTTACCAAAAATGGGTAACTGAATATAATCATGGGGAAACAGCAGGCAAACTCAAATTAAGAAACAGTCTACAAAATAATAAATGGCCTTGGGTCCTCAAGTATATCAAGGACACAGATGATAAGGAGAGAAATAGACTGTTCAAGATTAGAAAGAGTAAAGAGGCATGACAGTGAAATGCAAGGTGTGATCTTGAATTGGACCTGATCTCGAAATTTTTTTCTTTTGCTATAAAAGACATTATTGGCACAATTGGTGAAATTTGGATAGGGTCTATAGATTTGATAATATTTTTATATTGATATTAATTTCCTGATTTTGATAATTCTACTGCAGTTGTATAAGAGGATGTCACTTGTTGTTAAACACAAAAGGGCTGAATATGTTCTCAAAGAGTTCAGAAAAAAATCTCTTTATCATCTGTTTATCACCTGTCTATTGATCATCTATAATCTATCTACCATGAGAAAGACAAAGCAAATGTAAAATTTTAATTTGAAAAAATATGAGTGAAACATATATGATAATGGTTTGTCTTATTTTATAATTTTTCTGTCTGAAATTATTTCCAAATAAACAAAATCTTTAAAATTTTGAAAAATAGAGGAGAAAATGAAAATATAGGTGCATGTTTCTGTCAATCATCATTTTATAGATTGAAATATGTGGCCCTTCTTGGTCCCTAAAACAAGTCTTTTACTTTCATGTGTGGATTTTCATAACCTTTCCATTTCAGAAACTTAGAGCAAGGTCTCCAGACTCAAGGTGCCTTTGACCATTTTTTTTTCCATAAAGGACTTCTAATGATCTTGGATAGAATTGAGCCCTGTTGAAAGAATACTTCTGTATGGTTTATGGGCCTATTCTGCTTGACATGTAAGTCTATTAAAATGACTTTTCTCATGAAGGGATTCTTTGATACATTAGAACAATGATGATATTATTGTTACTCAACCATTTCATTTCAAGAGGCAGAGCTATATATAAGTCATAAGAATGCATTCATAAGAGTTGGAAAGTCTAGCTTTGTGAGATTGACAAGAAGACGTTTTAGTATTAGAACAAGTGCGCTTTCTGAAGAGCATTTCTTTGGGGTCAAGAAAATGACAGCTGGGTTTATAGGATAGTCACATCAGCTCTTTTTCCCTTTAACATTTGCTATTCTATGGAGGCCAAAAAGTATATCTTTGTTTCCCTCCTATTTTCTTGGCCTCTCAGACATCTGAGTGATTCTGTGGTTGTCACTCACCCACAAAGACTTCACATTTACCAGAGGACTTGAGAGCAAATTCCTCAAGCCTTCAAACTATGGGTGATTAGAAAAGTCAGCATTTATTAATTAAGCCGTGAAATGAACACGGACCACAAAATATTTGGAAGATTATTGCAGGATGTGCCCAGCAGCTGTCAAGCATGAAGGACTTCTCTTCCAAGAGAAGCCCTTCAGTCTTCAAGATGTCCAGAGACCCCTCTAGCTAGGTTGCAGTTTTCCCTAGCTGGAGATTTTCTAATATTTCTTAATAGCTAATATAAATCACAAAATTTCATAATGGTAGACAGGCATCCTAGGGTTGGCTTAATATGTATCATCTAGCAATTTGCAGTACAGCCTACAGGGTAAGTCTGCGTAAGTTATTTTGATCAGTTTATGCAGCATAATGATAATCGCTTTTGTAAATTGCTTGTTTTTCCTTTTGTGTGATGGATTCACTGCTCAGCATTTTGAGGGGGCTCAGAGACCCATAACTTTGCAGAAATATTAAGCCATCACCCCTCCATGTTAAAACATGAAAATTCTCATGAATCAAGAAAATGCACTTCATATTTCCACAACTTAAGACAATCACAAGACACCCATCAAAATATCTGTCTGCTGAAAATATTTACTAGCATTTGTTTTGTTTTAGCGTTTCCTAACACAGTCCCTTTGTTGAAAGATAATTATTGTTTTATTCATGAATAGTAATAAAAAAATTTTTTTCAGTCAGATGAATGATCAGCTTCTTCTAGACTGGTGCTCTTCCATCAACTCAGAAGACATGTACCAGAAATGAAGGAGAAATAAATGAAAATAACAGAATGGTGGGCCCTTGCTCAACCTTACCCAAGGCCAATGAATGGAAAGTATTCCATCTTTGCTGTATCTTCCTCAGAGCATCAATAAATATTCAGCAAATAATCCCTGGGTGCCATCCTGTATGCTCTGATGGTGATGAGCCAGAAGGGGTGAACATGGACAATGTACTTGGCTGAGGTTGCCACCCAGTCACATCTCTCACTCTTCTTGGTTGGCTTCTGGAGTGGCTGTAGGTGTTAACACCCATACGAAAATGCACCAAATTCTGTCTTTGTAGTCGTAAATGTCAGTGACTTTTCCTTAACAGTACAGCTTCGTTAGGTAAATATCTCAAACAGAACTCTTGGTCTGATATCCAAGAAAAGACAAGGGGTGACTGAGTTAAAAATGGGTTGCTCCTACTAACGTGACATCTCTTTATGAGCTTAGATTCTTGAAGTTAAAAGAAACTTTAAAAGATGCCTCATGAAATATTTTCTTGGTGTTGAATTTCTCCCCCGACCAATAACTGTCTTGACTTTGGGCTGTTTGTGTTCATATGGCTTGGGATTGGCAATTCACTGCCTCCTAAGAAATCTCTGTAAAAAATCTTTTTGTTATAAAGAAAATGCTTTCTCTTATATTGAGACAAGTACTTTTATTATTGGTTTCCTACTGTAGACCAAGGAGTCTTTTACTTCATTTTACACAGCTTGGTGCCAAGATCTAGGAAAACAAGTCTAATTCCTTTTGATGTGATAGGGACTCAAGTACCTGAGGATGGTAATGACATTTTGTCTTTTTCAGGCTAGATATCTTCCACTTTGGACTGGCCCTCATTGTTTGAAGTTTTTTCCTCACCATTTTACCAGTTAACCAGTGTATCTGTAACCCTGATTCATGTACAGACCTGAATACATTCCTTGTTTTACATACCATATATCCATGTGTGTTCCCTAAGATGTAATTAGCTCCTGCTTTTGGCATCTCCACTGTATCATTTACACTGATTTATTTTAATTAGTGTTTATCAAGATATGATTTACTAAGAACTGTTATATGTTAAAGATAAAACAAAATGAGACATGGTCCTTGACATTGAGTCTATATTTGTATAAGGTCAACAAACACGATAAATACTTGGCTAGTATAATCCAATGTGCTGCGTATTCTAGCAGAAGCACAAAATGCTCTGGGAGCATGGAGGAAGGCTTGATTTTCTCTGCAGGGCTGTGCTGCTGCAGGGGGTAAAGTCAGAAAGCTTCTGTAACAGCATCAGTTGAACTGGGTTATTGAACATGACTAGGGCATTTCCAAGCAAATAAGATAGCAGATGAGTTGGAATCTTGACATATGCTAGGATGACACAAAACAGAGAAAAAGCAGAGATGTGGAAATATGAGGTATGTTTCAATAGTGGCTAATGGAGCACAAATCAGGGTCCAAGGACAGAGAGGAAAGTCATGTGGTAGAAATGGAAGAGCAGGGTGGAACCAAGCAGTGAATTCTGGAGAAGGACACTGAGAGTTCATGCAACAGGTCCTCACCACACAAAGCGGGGTCTGAGGACCAGCAGGATCCCTCCCACCTGGGAGCTTGTTAGACATGCAGCATCCCAGAACAGCCAAACTAGACTCGGCGTCCTCACAACTCAATACATCCCTTCAGTTCACTCCCTGAAGCTTGAGAAGCACTCTGGGGGGTGACAGACTGCCTTGTGTGGAGCTTGGAGCAGAAAAAGAGGTAGGAAGGTACATTGTTCAGGTACCGGTGTTTATCTCCTTTAATCCTCACAACGAACTTCTATGACCTTCTCTTTACTGGGAGGAAAGCTAACCCCTGAGGAGTTAATGCCATCACCCAAAGTCATGATTCAATCAGTGGCAGAGTAGTAATTTGGACTCCAGTGTTTTTAACTCCAAAGCATGTCTGACTTCGTTTTGTGACTGAGTGATTTCATCAGTGTTACGGTGCAGAGAGCTGAAGGTGAGGGAGTCCACGGAGGGGACTGGGACAGCTTCCTGCCCCTTGGAAACTGTTTTGCTCTTGTGAAGATCAAAGGAGGTGGTTTAGGGAAAGGGTGTGCTGCGTGGCAGGGAGCGCTTAGGAAATGGTATCTGTTGTTAGTAACTAAGCACTAGAGTTTAGGTTGCACTCCTTTCTCCAGCCTGTGCTTACATACCCTAGGGTCTCTCTGGTCTCTTGTCCCTTTAACACCCAGATGTTAACTATCTGAGCTGTCATCCTGAGGGACTATGGGGAGCCTGGTCTTTTACTTTATTCCCTCTCAAAACATATCTGAGAATGCCAGGGGATGGTTTACGTATTTGATGAGTCCCACACGGTTTTCATTGTCAGTTTGACCAACCCTCTGTTACATATCTACATCTCAGTGCTATTTCACCCTAACAATGGAGACAGGCATGCTTAGTAATTCCCCAAAGGAAAGTTAAGGTCAAGGTTTGTAAACAAGAGCAGGAAACTACAATGCAGAAACTGTAACTGCACTCTGAACAACTTTTTAGTCTCTGCCACACAGATCTTCCTCCTCAGCTTTGGTTTGCTTGATGTCCAGCATCAGAACCCACCTCTCTCCACATGGGGGCTTTGACCACTTCCAGTCTTCCTTCAAGACAGGCTCCCAGCTGTCTCTTGGGCTCAGCAAGAGGGAAAAAGAGCTCTTACCTCCTGAATTCAAGACTTGTCTTTTTCTTTTCTTCTCCAGGATTTGTAGAAATGGAAATGTTTATTTCCTTTAGAGGAATTTACACTCTCTGGCCTAGGGTTGTAAATTGGCCTCCATGTCTAAATTAGGCAACTGCAGTACTCAACATTTAATATCCTGTTTGGCTGATGCAAGCTAAAATAACACCAGGGGGAGGGGGGGATACCAAACTACGAAGATAGTTCTCCCTAACCCTCTAGCATTTCCTTCCTCCTGATGTGGGTTGGCTTGATATCCTAACCAGTAAGAAACCAATTTTCAAGTCACACATGCACCTTAAGAACAAATAGCTTTCTTGTGAAGGGAAGTCTAAAATCTAAACAACACTTAATATCCTGGGCTGAATTAGACCTTATCAAGGATCTTGAGGAGGTGTTTGAATGACATCTTCTTTGCCCAAAAGGCTTAGCCCATCCTTCCTACCACTGCCTACCATGACTGGCATGTGATGTCACTCAACACCAGGTGTGTTTATGAAGAAGGAACCACAGGTTACAGAAAGAATAAATCCATCCAACTGCTCCATTCTTTGACACCATGTTGACACAATCATAGAAACTGGCAGTATGCAAACCCTGAGTCAGAGCTCCTGCTTCATTAAAGATTATTCAGTTAGAAGCACTCTGTATTAAGGGATTGGGGAGTGGTCTCCAAAGAGGGCACACACACCCCAGAGACAAAGTTTACATATGTCTGGAAGCAAACACTTCCTGTAAGCCAGCAAATGGCATTATAAGCTTCAAGAATTTTAACATATACCTTTTTTTGACTCCCCCATTACCCACACACATACTATACCCTGTTTGCCTTGGGTACAAGATGAACACTTCACATTTATATTATTATGTTATTATATTAAACAGTATTCAGATAATGTTTAGCCACAGAATAAGTTTTGCTGCCTCCACTGGAGGGAGTCTTTTTAAAATCTAGAGTTTGAAGGAGCAGGGAGAATGAAGGAAGAGATACATTACTGAGTACTACGCTTTTGAAGACACATACGTCTACGTACCTAGAAGCTATGGGTCTTGGCCCCTAAAATATGTACTCCGATAGCGTTGATAATATAATTTAAGGGACCTGATGTATTCTTTCAAACCATTCATGGAAATCTCCATGATGTCTCTGGGTTTAAGATTATAAAGCTACTGGGATGGACAGTATTTTGGTACCTTTCCATTGGAAGGAAATGTTAATACCTTTAAGAAAGTGGAAGATTTTGTACTTACAAAGAGTAATCTTGATATCATCTTCTTGCTCCACCCTGAGGTAAAAGATGGATTTCATCTGTTACCAGGACGATTTCCCTGAAGCAGGCCTGGTTGGCTGACCAGATTCATCCCTGTGGGAGTTGATGCTGGATGCCTGCGGCTTGACTGGTCTTTGAAAGTGGGGTGGGAACTACAAATCAATGGTCGGATATTGCTAGTTTCTGTGGCTTATTCTCCAAAACGGAGCCAAAGACAGTAGCAATTTAGAGGATTTTGTTTCTTAGTGACCAGGTATTTCCTTTTTCATGCATGCACTCCTCGCTGAGTGATGGTGTGTGACTGTCACTCCTGCAGCTTTGAATGCCTGCAAAGTGTGCTGTCACAGGAACTGAGGGAGTGTCTTTAATGGAGCGTTCCTCACACTTTTCTTTTTTTCCTGGTTTTCCTTAGGCTTCTCCACAACCTAAGAGAGAGAAGGAGGAGAAAAGATATCATATAAATGGGTCAAACTGGGATTATTGCTCACTGGACAGTAGGAAACTCTATTTCTCAAAGTAAGGAAGGGAGGGTGGGACAGGTTTAACATCGTTTAGATTTTCAACACTCTAGCAAAACAATGCTAGATCTTAGAGTTTAAGGGGCCTAGATTCCAGAAGGTGCTTCTCTGAGATTTTTTTGGAAGCAACACTTTAAGAAGAACCTCGAAGAGCATTTAACTCTTTAGTAAATGTCCCTTAATTTCAAACCTTGAAGACTCCAATATTGCTCTATCTCTGATATAGAAACACTGCTCTCTATATTATTCAAATAAGGTCTCAAATGTTAAATGTTCATACAAATAATTGCTTTAGTTCAGGGAAAACTTGACAACTCAGCTACTCTGTTCCAAGTCAGCAGCATATCTAACCAGGGCTATGTTGTCATCTCCCCACTGGGTCTTCCTTTTCCTATTCTGGTCCCTCTGCTGTCCATCTCCACAAAGCATCAAGACAACCTTGAAAAAAAAATCTAACTCACATCAAGTTTAAAACCTTATGACTTTGTATTATACTTGGAATAACATCCCATCTCTCTCCTGTGGCCTGGGGGACCTTTCTTGATCCAACTCCTATACTCTGAGAATCTTGTTTCATGCCAGTCTGTCACTTGCTTACCACGCCCAGCCTTGCCCAGCTTTCAACAAGCCAAGTTCATATTTCTTTGTATTTGCTATTTCCTTTTGTTTTTTTGACTGCTTGACATCTACTAGTTTAAATTGCTGGCTCCATCTTCTCTTTTGGGGCTCTATTCAAAGTCATCATCTCAGACAAACCTTGCCTAGAACATTCAATTCAAACTAGACACCCCTACCTTTTCTGCATCTTATCTTCCTGCCTTAAATAGCACTTATCACAATTTAAAAATGTAGCATTGTTTTATTCAAATGCTCATTTCTTATTCCCTGAATAGGATTTAAGTACCCCAAGAGCAAGGTTTTTGTCTTATTCAGAATTCTACCCTCAATCTTTAGCACAATCTTTGCCTGTCACAAAAGTAAGTGCATAAGAAAAACTTCTTTGACCACTGAATGAATGAATGAATGATTGAATGAAAGAACTAGCTTTCAGTGAGATTTCACATGCTAGATCTCATGGAATATGGAACATTGATGAAAAAGAATTGCATATTTCTCTGACTTACTGGGCCTCCTTTAGACACAGTCGCAGATCTTGCTCTATTCTGGGCAGATGAAAAGTGATCTCATGGAAAACATGGTCTGTGATAATTTGAGGACTCCTGTAACCACTGAGGTGAGGCTCTGAAACAGCTTCAAATGCAATGAAAGATGTGGAGGGAGAGAACACCGACATGGAGGTGCATCTTTCTGGACACCACACTTAATTGAGCCATTTTAATGATTTTGTTCCTTGTGCACAGAGAAGGGCTTTGGGCTCAGAATCTGATACAAAATCAAGTCCTGTTTTTGCTATACATAAGCCCCTGCAAGCCAGGGTACAGACTCCTGGGCCTGTCTTCTCATCTGTGAAGTGGGAATGCTTGTAGAAAGAGCTAATGCTTTACTGAGTCCTTACTCTGTTCCAAGCCCGCTGTGAACATTTGCATGCATGATTTTGTTTAGTTCTTACAATCATCCCCATATGAT